CGTGAGGTCTCTGGTGCTCAGCCTTGACCTTCCTGCAGGTCAGACACCTCTCCACAACCTGTTGAGAGAAAAACTTAGAGACACACTTGAACAAACGTTAGAACAAGTAGATTGCGGAATAGTTAATCTCGAAGGATCTAAAAGCTCAACAATAATATTAATAAGTTAGAGTTAGATAGTTAGAGAGTTAGTTGCGGAAAAGTAAAGAATAGAAATGACAACAATTGTTATATCAAGTATACACATAAGTTGATTCATAACAAGGAATGCATTCAAACCAAGTTAATAAGGACATCAAACTTAGTGATTAAGTCACAAAAGACTTGCTCCGAGAGAGGTTATAATCAGTAGTATTCTAGTAAGATTTGAGAGTAAAAGGGATGCATAGTAGATAGAGAGATAGAAAAGATAACTTCAGAGATGTGTATTCAGAATAGATAGATGCGTGGTTTTAATACAAGAGAATGAGCTCTATTTATAGAGACTCACGAAGTACACTAGATTACCTCTCTAAGAGTAGCCATGCAAGCATACTGGACAATAGAGAGTATTACAATAAAAACAAGTAAAGTAATCTAGTAAAGTGACTGCGGTAGGTAGGGACTCCCGATGCGGTTGCTGATGAAGGAGCTCGACTGCGGGTGCTTGAAGGGCTGCGGTAGCTGAAGTTCAAGAGGGTCACTTTTTATGATTCAACAATTTCCCCCTAAGTGACCTCTTTAACTTTTGTTCAGCTATCAAGTTTAAGAAACTTGACCAGGATCCACCAAAACTTCTGATGTTTTCCAACCAGATGATTCTCCTTAATCTCGAACTTGACTTCTGCAGTAGTGTGCTTCGATTTTCAACTGCGGTTCGGCAGATATCAAGTTGCTTCCTGGTGAGGCGATGCATGGCAGTCATAGGGAAGTATTTGACATTATCGATCTTCCTTTTGAAAATGACTCCAAGTTCAGGAAAATTGGTTGCACCTAAGGATCTTTCTTGATAGCCTTCGGTAGGCATTGGTGCAGATCGAGTGGTGGCAGATCAAATTTCTTGGCAATAGTGGGGTAGATGTCTGCGTCGATTTTAGCAAAATTACAGA